CAGATCAAGTTTTCTAGATTTTAAATCATTTTTGAGACTGTGCTGGGGGTGGGAGCAGCACCTGAAGCCTTCCCTCCCTTCTCCAGGCTCACAGCTGTTCAAACAGAACCCTACAAGGTAGCACTGGCTGCTTTTCTCAGCAGCATGCAGGGAGCAGGCAGGGAGTCTGTGACGTGGTGGCTTGGCAGGCCAAATCCAGCCCGCAGAAGGTATTTTGCCTAGACCTGGACCTCCCCATCTCCCCCCACAGCTCTTCCAGTAAATTTTAGAGGCCTGGACAGCAGCCCGGCTCAGTCCCAGCTTGTGCTGGGTCCCGGGGGTATAATACCCCTGCAGGGGGGTAGCAATAATACCCCTGCAGGGGGGGTAGCTTCCAGGGGCCCACTGCGAGCCAAGACTGAGTCAGGCTGCCTGCCCATCAGGTTCTAAATGACTTTCCTTGCAAAGCTGCAGCATGGGTAGCTACTGGAACCTGGCAAGAGCCAGGACTAAGTGCTTGCAGAGCTAACCCTTATCGATTAATTGCACAATCGACAATGTCACTTCATCTGCAGCACACAAAAAGTTAGTTGGCTAAATTTAGTTGGTGTTGTATTGAAATTTGAGAGTATTTGGTTATATTCATATTGTATGTGTGTTTGGTGGGATGGCTTCTAGGTCATAATAGTAATCACATGGCTCTTGGTTAACGGTGGTTGGAAATGTGGCTCACCAATCACATGACTGATTACCACTAGTTTAAAAAAGTTAGTGTTTCTACAGCATAACATTTTACAAGGTTATGAGGTAGACATTCTGGCAAACAGCATAGACAAATAAGGAATTTGTGCCTTAAGTGATATCTGACAACACATGAAGGATTTAGTTTTTGGTACATGTAAAACGTCTAGAAGCTTTCTAATTAATTCCTCTTCCAAATTCTGAGGACTTGCTAAATATATAAAGCTTATCACTAAAAACTGCTGCTATATATACACACACATTTAGCAAAGCCTCATTTTAACTTCAAAAGCACCGGATTGTGATTTTATAATACAGCTAAACCCTCACAATTACTTACTGGTTGTTGTGATTGGTGGTAGCTCCTCTGGCTGTTTTACATCCTTCTTCGGAGCAGAGAGCTGCTCATCCAAATTTTTCAGTCGATCTTTGTCTTTCAGGAGGTTTCCAGGTTTCAGCTCATTGATGTCTAGTGCAAGGTTCTTGCAGAGCACCTCAATCTCAAATTTCAGATTTAGCTGCACAACAATTCCAGTATGATTATTTCAGGTTATATATTTACCTCTTGTATCGTAAGACAATGCACCAGACCAATATTCCACAAGGAGACTGTCTAGAAGCACCAGAGTTAGCACCATGAGTCACCTACATTTGAAGTCTTCCAACATTACATTTTCCTAAGCTAATTGGCCAAGAAAGAAGTGTTCAATAAGTGCAGAGGGAAAAAAGTTAAAAGCAACTTACTTTTAAGTCATGTTCTTGATGCAACTCAGCTAAAACATTCATGATTGCCATTGTCCACGGGTTTGGAGGCCTGAAAACCTATAAGAAGATTGGGGAAGTGTCAGAAAGACATTTTCCAAAAGGCGTGCTGAGTTTTGATTTACAAGTGTACTTTAAAACAAACACAACAGCTTTTTGTATTCGTCCAGCTGTAAAAAAGTAAGGACAGTTTCCAATAATGGTGTAGATACGGCAATGTCCTTCCCCAGCAGTACATCTGGGGGAAAAAGCCTCAATTTAGTATTAAAGTAAATTAAATTTAGTATTAAAGTAAATTAAATAGGAAGTAAATTCCAAACGAACATTAGAAGCCAGTTCACTGTGGTTTCCATCTGGAAAATCAACAGTGCCATTGCAGAAGTAGAATTGGGGAGACAAAGGCTGATCCAGGAAAAAGAAAAGGACACAGCTAATTAGGTTCAGGCTTTGTCTACAGCAGGGCTGTGTCTAGATTGCACCCCTTTTCCATAAAAGGGATGCAAATTAGACAGCGCAATTGCAAATGAAGTGGGGATTTAAATCTTCCCCGCTTCATTTGCATAAACATGGCTGCTGCTTTTTTCTGGCTCGGAGCTTTGCCGGCAAAAAGTGCCAGTCTAGATGCAGATCTTTCGGAAAATAAAGCCTTTTCCGAAAAAATCAGGAATAAGGGATCTTTCGGAAAAGGCTTTATTTTCCGAAAGATCCGCGTCTAGACTGGCACTTTTTGCCGGCAAAGCCCCAAGCCGGAAAAAAGCGGCAGCCATGTTTATGCAAATGAAGCGGGGAAGATTTAAATCCCTGCTTCATTTGCAATTGCGCTGTGTCTAACTTGCATCCCTTTTATGGAAAAGGGGTGCAATCTAGACACAGCCCAGGAGTTTTCAAAGTTGGGAAGTGGCATGGGCCATGACCCACAGCTTCCTTTGGCTGGAAACGGCAAACCGTAGCCAATGGGAGCAGCAAGACTTCATGTCTATGTACGCTTAGATAAACAAAACATCCCACAGTCCGCCAGTGACTTATTGGGTGGGCCCACAACCCAAACTTTGAAAACCCCCAGTCTACATAATAGAACTTTTAGTGGCATAGCTGTCAGCACTGCCATGACACTAAACCGGGCAGCGAAGCACTTTTCCTGACAAAATACTTCTACACCCACAAGCAACATTCACTAATCAATGTGTGCGCGCTACTGAGGATACTATGCCGTTCACACAGATACTTGCTGTGGCGAAGCTTGTGTCTTTTGGGTATAGAGTAGCATCTCTAAACAAAAAAGTTCTATTGCTCAACTAACAATGTAGACATAGCCTCAGAAAAAAGTTAGGCCCCCTGGGACTTTCATTTGTGGGTAAACAGAGGAATGAGGTACAGCTGTTTAAGCACACATTCCAATCAACCCTTTCTTCCAGAACAAATTGTAGTATCTACAAGACCTTTTCACTTTGCTCCCAGGTCACATCTCTCAATTTTCAACACCCTGTTTCCATCCATTTCTGTCCCAAGACCTGAGATTAGGTTTCGAATGAAGTTTGTTTTAAAAATTCACATTTAGTGTATACTTGTTACAGAACATTTATTTTGCTACTTAAATTGTAGAACCACTTCCATAGTTACATCTCATTTTGCAGGTTTGCGTTCACTTACCACACTTCTGACGCTAGATTCTAAAACTTTGGCAACAAATGGCACCACATAAAGCAACTCCTGTTGCCCCTTAACATAAGCCTCCAGAAGTAAGGATTTCACATCCAAATCCTAGAACACAAAAACGTCAGTGAAACCTGGTGACAGGGGAGGGGGAGAATGGAGAAACACTCATATGCCATGTAGGGCTACAATTTAATTACAGCACTGACATATGCTGAATCAGAACAGCATTAGCATCTTACCTGCTAGTTTTTCTAGGGAGTAATTGCTATGTAGTTACTTTAAGAGGACTAAGTTACTTAAGATCACAAATTATCATCAAAGGTTCCTAAATGCATAAGTTACCAAAGTGTTCAGAAGACAAACTACATAATCAGATTTAGTTTAGCAAGCTTGTTGAACAAAAAGTTAAGAAAGTCCAGGTTAAGATTCAGCTGAATTTGACTTCACGTCTATCACAAGCTTAACAGGGTTTTGAAGAACGGATTACATGTGAGCTCACCGTGTGCAAGATGGGTTTATTTTTAGCCAGCGTGATCATTCCCAACCAGTGGCCAAGGTTCTTCAGAAGGGACCGATCAGAGAAATTGGCTGCTGCTTTATCTGACGTCAGGAGCACCTAACAGATTATTACAAAAGGGAAAGAAATCTGTGAGAAACTCCCAAAGCCAAATCATTTAGTAGAGCTCAGACTTTCTAAAGTCAGTGTGTACATTTAGCTGTGCTTTAGCCAGGAGACAGTCCTTTTACTTTAGTACACTGAAACCATGGTTTGTCAAGTGTCTAGGAAACAGTCCCCTACTCACTTATCCTTAATGAGAACTACAATAAAGTCTTCTCCTTCAAGGAACTTAAAGTAAGCTGACAAGATCTACAAAAGTATAACTCCATGCCAGGACTACCACACCTACACAGCTCGCAAATTAACAATTCAAAATTCCACACAACAGCTAGAAATCCTTATGTAGTAAGAGAGTAGGTGAAGTAATTTTGTTTTTTAATTAGGCCAACTTTTGTTGAAGAGAAGCTTTCAAGCTTATGAAAAGTTAGTCTTCAGGCCTTGGGACAATACTCGGGCCACGTCCATGCTACAGAAGTACGTTGATCGAATTTATGTTGGCATACAGATACTACTGTTAAATCACTTGTACGTATGCACTTGGCTACTTGTGTCAGTGGTGCATGTCCTCACAAGAAGCACTTGTATTAATTGTCTTGTCAGTGTGGGGCATGGTAGGAAGGGTCCTGGAGGCCAGTAACAGTCAACATAAGCAACACAGCATCTAAATTGACACTGCATAGACCTAATTGCATCAGACATGACTTTATACCACTCAGGAAGTGGTGTTACTAAATCGGTGTAGAGTGGCACTTCCGTTAGTGAGAGCCAAGTTTAAAATACTTCCATAGTTGGGTGGATGCAAGTCAGCTTACCTGGACCTAACTGCATGGCGTAAACCAGGCCCACCATTAAGTACAAGGTGGAAAGGATTGTTTAGGATAAGTAGCTAATGCACATATCAAGGGACAATTTAAGGTGAAGTGGCCTATACAAAGGTCCCTTGAAAAGTATGTTAACTTCTTGTGCAAATCAATTTGTTTCACTTTGTATTTAGCTGAGACATTTCCCAGACCTGAAGAAGCTATTTGTAAGCCCTCAAAAGCTTGTGTGTCTCACCAAAAGATGTCTATTCTATTAAAAAAAAAGGTATTCCCTCAACACCATGTCTCATATCCTAGGACCAAACACAGCTACAAAAAAAACTGCCTCTCCTCCCCCTCCTATAATGGCATATAAATTGTCAGCAGTGAATAAAGTTTTGGTCTCTGAAGACCTTTTAAACATGTAGTGAATTTGTTGCTAATTCTATTCCTTAGCTTACTGTAGCATCAACCAAATGGTAAAAGGTCAGTTGCGCTCACAACAGTGCCAAGGATTTATTTTGCACTACAGCGTAACCTACAGTGGAGAGAAATTCCATCCATAGGTTTAAAAATAGTGCCAACTGATTCCTGTTTTTCACTTTCTCCTTGCCATTTCAATAAAATTCTTTAAGTCTAGCCCAGTTTTAACATACTCCTCTGCCTGCACTTCACTAGTTGGAAGAGAATTAAAATGAAATCTGGTCACCACAAGTTAAAAGGTAGCAGATGTAACACAAAAGGAAGTGTTTCTTACATAGTCAATCTGTGAGACTCCTTGCCAGGGGATGTGGTGAAACCCAAACCTTTTCACTGGTACAAATAAGGACTGCCTCCCCTATGATTTTGGAGGGCATTGTACACATGCATGGTATTCCACAAATCCCCCCACATTCATACATTTTATTAGAAGCTCTGCTAAATTCACCATATCATTGCACATCTTATTTAAAATGACTGCAGTAGAGTATTTTGTTTAATAAATCCTGTGTAATGAACTAGTCAGCTTCAACAGGACAATTTCTTTTCTTTGATAAATGGCATCTGTAAGACATCCACTGTCTAGTCAAAACTTTCTTGGATCTTCATTCAAGAAGGCTCTATATATGCAACTCTGATTCTTGGTATAGGTATAATGATTCAGCTGGCCATTCTGTACAGTTTGCAAACAAGTAATTATCTTTACAGAGTTGTCAAATGCAAACATTTCCCCCTCTAATCATTCACTTACACTAAGTTTTTACTTATCTAATTTTCCAGACACCAGTGCAGTTTTTAAGTTAACTGTGCTCCTACAAAGGTTTCTTTACATTAATTGCAAGTTAACAGGCAGAGTCAATAGAAACAATATTACACTGTAGGTAAGAACTCTGTCTTATGGGAGCAGTCTGCTAAGGAAAACAAGCCCTCCCCTCACCACCATGACAAAAGAGCTTCATAATAAATACCTGTTCCTCTCAACTAAGCCTTGCAGAACACTGCTCAGCCAAAACAGTTGGATAGAGAAACAGCAAACCTACCCATCAATGTTCATAACAGATAGTTTTCAGGCCAATAGTAGTACTTAAGGCATTTTCCCTGCCCAAATTATGAAAATAAACCCTGTTAGTCTACTTGGTAAATAATGGCTAATTTAGAAGCTCTGAGCTATATTTGGATAGTGGTGCGTGCAATGCCTATATTATTGAAAACTGCAAGCGTCAGAAGAAAAGTGACTTGTTACCTTAATATTTCTGTAGGTTTCATTCAGAACCATCTTGTTAAACTCTGGATTCTTAAGAGTGTCAAGGAAGTTTGAATATAGGCTGTGAAAATTTGGCTCAATACTGACTCTTTTCATCACAAGATACTGTGAAACCCAAGGCATGAATTCTTCTTTCACTGTTTCCTTCAGCTCCTCAACCTGGCTCCATCACACAACAAAACAAAAACAAAACAAAAAAAAGCCACAGAAATTACAGTGAAGACAGTGGTAAAATGACTTTACCAGTACTGATCAATGTTAGGGTTTGTTCCAATTCCAGAGCTGTTTTGGTCAGACAGATTACAACAGCCAATAAATCAACTTAAATCCATTTCAATCATTTGAATGCAGACACCCCATCTTTTGTGGAATGCTGAATGTTTACTGCATTACAATTCAGTAAATATTAAATTAAACCAACTTTATTGAATGACAACTCTGGAAACTGAAGGTGTATTTATAGAAAAGAGGATACTACTCTTAGTATGAGACTAAAGTCCAACCTAGGTTCTAGTGTTAGAGGACAGAAATTAAGCTAACTATACAAACCTTGACTCTGATTACCAAACAGGTACTAGCTGTAGCTGCATATTCTGCTATGTGAACACTTGTCTAGATCACAAATTATCGGCCAAACAGCAATATGACTAGTACAAAAGTTTATTATAACTGTACCCATCAGAAAGTGTTCACCTGAAACCAGAGGGGCAGAGAATGTGACCATACACAACTTTAGTTTAGACAAAGGATAATGCTTTGTGAGAATAAAACCGCACCACTGAACAAGAGCAGTTAATTGTCCAAAAATTATTGGAGCCCACATATTTTGAGGTGAAACATTGTAATGACCATGTTCATGCTGCTATTTCATCCTGTACTCTTATCTTTGGGAGAACTGTTTTAATATATCACGCAAAGAATATCTTCTAGAAGGACAGGCTTGAAATTAGTCCATATTAAGTCAGTAATAGTTTCAGGTACCAGAACTGTCCCTGAAGTTGCCATCAGTTTAAAAGAAGAGTTACTGTGTGACAGACCAACTGTTCAACAGATGTAGAACCTGAAACTATTTTTAAAAGAAAAAACAATGAAATTTCATGTAGGTCCTTCACTAAAGTAGGGGAGGGAGATATTTAATACAATGGTGCAGGAATGTACAACTTCTCCCGCAGAAGAAGGGCTATTAACTCAGACTGAGAAGAGGGGAAGTGAAATTAGTATTTTTAAAAAATACAGTTGTAATTAAAGATTTACAAGGTTTGTTTTTGCAAGATATCTGTTCACCTTCATCACACATGGCATTAGAACAGATGAGTTCCCGCTAGAAATAGGGAATAATGAAACAAGATAACTTTCTGCCACACTTACCTTCTGGGTCATATTTGATTGAGACAGATTATTGAATATGAAAGCAATTTTTTCCTGAACATTTTCTGGGGGTTCCACTATTCTCTCAGTTTGATCAGTTGCCACTAGTAAGGTATCAATGTTGGTAGTATTAATGGAAGGCTGTAGGAAGACAATGACAAATTAAGAAAAAAATAGTGCAAAGAGGGACAGTATTAAGTGGCAATAGTTCAAAGATTTTAATCAGTTTAATAGTAAAGTTAACACTTCTAATCTTCCGAGAAAGATGACCTAAGAGTGGAAAAAGTTATGTATGTAGTGTGGATATGCAACCCAATCCTCATTCCCTATAGTTTCCCCCTTAAAAAAAAGCACCCTGCAACAGGAAAACCATGTTAATTCCCATCCGTCCATCCCACCCTTAGCTAAATTTTTGCTTTTTGGCTAGAAAATGCTAACAATTCATTGCCAAAAGTGTTCTCTGCAGGACAACAAAGGTTATTTCCTACCAACCAATGCTTGCAAGAGGCTAAATGCTTTATGATACAAATCCAAAGAGGATCACAACTCAATAACCTAAAGTACAAACATTTTCTCTTGAGTGGTAAGGCTCTGGTATTCACTGAGAATCAGCCATTTCCTAATTCAGTTTACCCCCCAATAAAAGCCCTGAGAAGTGATAGGGCTGCTTACCGGCACATCCTTCTTGAAGCTGACTCCAGTTGGCCGAGTGATTGTAATGGTTTTTGCCACGGTGGTGGTGGTGGAGGTGGTTACTATAGTGCTGACTTGGCCAGCAAGTGGCGCTTTTGCTGGAACCTGGGCCTGGGCCTGAGCCTGGGCAAGTGCAATACTTCCAGGGGTGGTGATTGAACCCTGCATCTTCACAGGAGGGTCTCTTGATTGCTGTCCATATTCAATGTACTAGAGGTAGGCAGACAAGAGATGTTCTGAAATTCACACATCTAGCAATGAAACTGAATCCTGATACTAGATGCCTCTGAACTATAATTCACCAGACTGAACTTCAGAGAACTTCAGTCTGGAAATTTTATATTAAACTCAATCTTTAGAATATAGAACTTTTGTGAATGCATTTACAAAAAGCAAGTGAGCAAGCAAAAACCTGGACAGGAACTCCTTGGTAAGTTCTACTAGAGAAGCCTCTTTCCAGTCCCAGTTTACAAGGCTATAGAAAGACTGACTAGTATGGCCTTCAGAGGCATGCACGCCATCCCCACGCTAGAGGGGCTGCTGAGTGACAGAAGGCAGAACCCCATTCCAAGTCCACAGACAGCCACACAGATGGCCTGTGGAGTGAGAAAGTTGAAGGGACTGTGTTACCACACACCCTACAGTGCAGAGTGGGTAAGAAAGTCTTCCCCAGAAACTTACAGCAATAATATAAAGATGGAGGAAGCCTGAATTGTGGCTCAAAGAAAACGCCAATTCAAATAGGTCTTAAATTTCTGCACCCACAGAAGTAATTCTACAATGGCCTACCATTGTAGAAGTAATTCTACAATTCTTTAGAGTAGTGCATTGACCTAGAGATTTACAATCTAGTCAAAAAGTTACAGCTGCAACACGTAAAACAATTAGTTAAGACAGCTCAGATTTTGCTTCATTTGTGGACTAGAGGAGTTATTGTCTACTCGATGTCATGGCAGCCACTTTTACTAAGCTGCAACTACACATTCAAGGGTGTGTGGCCATAGGATAAGCATCTATACAAGCCCCTTCCCCACCCCCAACAGAAGGATCATTGATTCCAACATTGCTTTTACTGTTTGGACTACAGTGCACTCCCATACTTTTGATCAGACCTAATTGTTCTGTCCCTTGTTTGGATTACTTTTAGCAGACCTGAGCACATAATTTGATCAACCACAGCAGAGGCACATTTATTCAATAGGGAAGGCCAACATTTTGGATGCAACAGGAATGTAAACCAAGGGTCAGACCTTGGACATTAAGGTGACAGCACTTTTTAAAGCCTTTGCAAATGGCAATATGCCATGGATGGCCATATGGCTACACAGGTTAGGCACTTATTTCAACACAAGCAAGCTAAATAAACTTACAGAAAAATGGAAGGCACTGGTTTACCCCTACTGCCACTCCCCCAAGCCCAAGGGGGGGGGGGGGGGGGTACATATATTCAGGTCTATAATTTGCTCACACAAAACATTAAAAATGTCTGTGTTATTTTATGTACTTGCATGGTCATACAAGACTTATGAATGTTTAGGCTAATTTTAATAATAGAAATCAACTCAATAGATTGTTTCTCAAATTCATGAATTCGTTTTCTATCATTCTTAAACACTCACCTCCTGTAGGTGATGAGGGAACTGTATAAAGTGACTAATAGAAGCCAAGTGCTGACAATACTGGGGATAGTCCTTCAATCTGTCAACAGTAAAACTGTCCATTAGTCAGAGAGAAAGATTGAGCCCTGATAAAGAACATACCACAGAGCAATACAAAG